GAAACATGCGTGTGTCTAGCATGAACTATGTAGTTTATAACAAAAGCCCAATCCTGCTAAATTTGGACAAAAATTATGGAAAAGTCTCCTTTAATATTAACAAGTCTATTCTAGTTGGACAAAGGCCATCTCCACTAGCTTGTAATATGCCTAGAGTATGATATTCATTTCTTCATTCAGAAAGACCCATTTCCACATTCTACATACAAATTAGTTGAGCCAATATAGGATCGAGGACAACGCTTTAAGATTCCTGCTTAACTATCTCAGTCCAGGCGTAGTAAATTCATTCCATTTTTGTGTAGTGGGTTCGAATATAACAACATGAAATGGGTGAGCTGGGAGTCTATGCGTCAACCGACAAAGAAAGTCCTTTTCTTCGCTTCTCACTCCTCTTCTTCGAGGTCCATTCCTATTTTTAGTTTAGCCCATTAGAGGCATTTACTCTCAACTTGCCATTGCTGTTCGGAAATCGTCCTCTGGAAAAAGGGCTGTTTATGATAGAGTCGGAACCATCTATTCGTCTTTCTAGTTTAGCAAGAGGGAGGGGTCAGAACAATGTCAGGTTCTGCCCAGTACGTGCTAGCTATTCCTCCACTTCGAGATTCACAGATTCCATTGCACTCTCAACACCTATAGGAGGCATCCATCTCCCGAGAAGGTGACTACTCTTTGATTTTTATAGTTGTGCAAATATGGAGGATCTAAGATGGGTGTGTCCAACATTACTCTTAGCTTGTGTTTGGCAGAAGGAAAGGGAAATGGAGGGAAGAAAGGATGGATAAAACAAGTTAATATTATTTGGTTAAAGGGAGTGAAGAGAGAAAGCATAGGAGGGAGAAATATCATAGTTGTTAAAAGCGCGCCTAGGCTCCAAAAAAGCCCCAGGCTCGTCAAGGTTCAAGTAGAACGCCTCAACCTACTACAGGCCAGGCCCCTTCAATCAGACTCACATAAAGCCCTCAGGCTCACTCTTTTTAGTAGGCTCCAGGCTCAAAAAAGGCGTGCCTTGTATTTTTTAATCATTTATTCGTATCATTTTCTTTTTTACTTAATGACTACTAAATTAAAAGGTACTATATCATATATCATATTGTTTAACCTTATGAATATTTGACAAAATTCATAAATTTATGATTCACTACTAATATTAACTGCAATTATTGCTTGATTATGAATATATATAATAATATCTGTTTAAATATGTATTATTATACACACGCACCTTACTTCGATCAGGCTCGTGCCATATACCGTGCCTAACGCTTAGGCTCCAAAAGGCCTTTGTCACCTTAGTGCGCCTTAAGCCTTTAACAACTATAGGGAGGATAAAACAGTACTCAGGCTAACCATTATGTTCTCATCCAAATATGGGAAGAAGTAGAGAGCGAGAATGATTCTTGTTTAATAAAAGTGAAAGACATTCTTAACTTCATATAAATGTATTTATATATTTAAGGGTATAGTGGCAACATAACAATATCATCCCTCTCCTTCCCTTCCAACCAACCAACCAATCAACCAAAAGAAGGGATGAACATGATCCTATGAAGCACAAATACGGATAAGGGACATGGGTATAACACGATTTGGATTGAACGATATAGCAATTTATTAAAAATATAAAAATAAAAATAAAAGACATGAAAACAACAGGGATAAGTCAAAATAATAATAATACCATACATTAGTATATATACAAAAAATTAAATTTTGTTCATTTTATCTGCATTATCATGAATGTAATTACTAATTTAAAGCAATTAACCCATCATATACTTCAAAATTGCATTAGATTCTTGTTTTTCAAAAAATTATTTGCAAAACTGTCGTATAAAAAGTATCAACACATGTTCCAATTGTTTTCCTTCCAAGTCTTAGTCGTGTTCTTGCCGTTCAACCAAGAAACAAGTATTCAAATTTCAGGACACTCCTAACTGTACTCTACACATGTTGGCTCATGTCCCACCCGAATCCTTGTCAAACACGTATTCGACACGACGACAACAGCTCTAAAGGAAGTTTCCATACTTCCTAGACATCATTCATTTCTCTTATGATGCCTCATCCAGTCATCCATCTCTCCTACCCCACTTCCCAAGAGGCACGAACATGCCTAAAAGGTCGTGTTGCACAAACACAGGAACCCATGTCAAACACGCCAAAAAAACTAGTCAAAATATTTTCCTTTTTGAACTCTCCACGAACACGCCTTGAACATGTGACAACGGACACACCGTGACCATGTGACAAGCATGCTGACACAAAATGTTTTTTAAATGTAATTAATCAAACAATTCTATTTTGATCTTTTTATGGCAATTACTCCCTCTATCCCAAAAAGAATGTCCATTTTTCCTTTTTGGATTGTCCCAAAATAATTGTCCACTTTCCTTTTTCAAACAATATATTTTACATCTTTCCATATATGTCCTTGAAGTTTAAAATTTCAAACTTGAATATTCAAAACTTAAAAGGGCAAGTTAGTAATTTTCCGGTGGGACAATACACAGCCCACATCCCCTAAAAAATTTCTACTACCCAAAAAGGACCTTTTTTTTTTGGATAGAGGGAGTACTTGTTTTAGGCTTGGAGAGGCTGTACAGTGGGGGCCAAGCTCGTGATTTCTAGAGGGTCACGCCTCTGTGTCTAGTGGTGTTTATGGCTTAAAAGAAATAAGAGATCCTTTGAAGGAAGGGATACTCCTATTGGTGTTATGAAGTTCTCCATTATTAACACTCTATTTTGTTGGGTTCTAGCAAGAAATTGTACATTCATGGATGAGATAGTTGATTTATTGGACTCTTTTAAGAGTTTAGAGGCCCTATTTGGCCTTGTGTAGCTTTAGAGAGATGCGTTCTCCTTTTGATAGCTTTTTAATACAATCTTACTTATCAAAAAAAGAAAGAAAGAAAGAAAAAAAGCAAGCTTCTTATGGAGCTTGCTTGAATATTTGTCAACACTAGAGAAAACAAATTATTATTCAACACTTGATCAATTCTGGGACAAAATCAGACACAAAGACATTACGCATCTAGATATGTAGGTATAAAAACATTTAACATCAGCTGGCTTAAAAATACATTGGCTAATGTTACACCATAGGTACTTGAATGGTCCCTGAAATACACATACTTCTCGCAATAAGGCATTAATATAGGCCATCAAAATAAGGTTTTGTTCTTCCTCACAAAAGAAATTCTCAGATATTATATATAACGCTAACAATAATATTCCTATATTTGTGTCCTCATCCTATTAAACCATTTCCAACCCCTAATTGGAAGCAGTAATGTAAACTGAGGTAAGAGGAAAAGAAAGAAAAAAATTAGAAAAAAATAAAAGAAGAAGTCTAGTAGAGTATGCTAATTCTCAAAATAGCATCAGGAAAAAGTATTATGGAGCAAACATAGTAGCACCTCCATGTCCATGGTCCATAAACTTCACCTAATTTAATTCATTCACATTCGGGCAAAAACCTCACATGTTTTAACTTGTATAAAAATAGCATGTATAACTTTCAGGCATAGATTACCATTGCAAAATTTGTGTGATGTTAGAGGCTGAAAAACAATCTACAAGACGCAACCCAACACCGTACATCCCAAAAACAGATTAATTATAGTTGATTCTTCTCCTCTTTTCTTTTTCATCCTAAAAAACAAAAACGATAAATGTATAAGTACTACAATTTTAAATGGTTAACCAATTCTTCCCTATGGATCATGTGAATCTGATGCAGCATCTGCTGAACCAAACACGCTCCAGTGAAGAGCAACAAGAATCTCTAGATGCGAAATAGAAAAGTACTTCTCTAAGCATGAGTTTGTTGAAATTAAGCTTAAATGAACATCTCCATTGCATTCATCTAAAAACTCTCACCCTAAAGTTTTCACTTCATTTGGTTTCGATATCTCCTTACAAATTTCACCATTTTTTTCTGTGGTCAGCACAACATGCTCTGGATCTTTACAATCCTTCAAAACCCTAATACCCTTCTCGCTTCATTTGCTTCCACGCTTGAATCCCTTACTCTTTTGCTGAATTTTCTGAGTAACCCTAAACCCACCCACAAACCTTCCTCACCAGACACGGATCTTCATTATTGTTCGTGGTGGAATTTCATCGGGAAAAACCATTCAATGGGCTCCAAAAACTCATCAAAAACTCGCCAACATAATCTCGCCGGTCCTCTTTCAGTCCCTGTTGTCGTTAGGGGAGAGATGTATAGAGAGAAACTGAGAACCTAGGGAGAGAGGAAGCCAGAGAAAACGAGGCGAAAGCCAAACGATAGGTAAAAAGGGGTTTATATATCCCTCCGATTTAAGTGTGCAGTAGCCAAAACATATGAAAGCAACTCATTTTACTTTCAAACATATGCTATGTGTTTTGTGTTGTGTTGGAGCAACACAAAACATAAAAGTATACCCAAACATGATTTCACTGCCATTTTCATTATTTTCCAACAAAAAAATATATATATCCCCAGACGAGGCCTCATTTTTTCTTTCTATATGATTCTCTTTCCTAGTAGAACTATCTTTCCTTTTTTTCAACAAAGCCCTAGTTTTAGAAATCCTACTTAAGCCATCTCTCTCTCTCTCCTTTTCTTTTTTTATTTTCTTTCATTCTTTAAAAATCTTCAACATTTTGTTTAGCTTTGGATTCAGACTAAAAAAAATTATAAAGGAAATTTAAAATATTTACTTACACATATTCTCTCTTTCCCTTTTTTCTCTAATTAAATAAGACAATTATCGTTGTAATTCATTTGTTGTTGTTAAGGGGAAATTTATGCTCTTAATTGAGGAGATGTAATATTAGTCTTACAATATATCATCACATACACAAAATATTTATTATTTGTTGCGATACCGCCGTATCTGTGTCAATTTGCTATGTCGCCTGTGTCATATCTGTTCTGAGTAGCTCCTTTCCATACAAATCCCCATCCCTTCTATCAAACTGGCCATTATATTAGACAGAGAATAGAAACTTACTTGATGCCAATTTGGCGTGCACAAATATGATGGAGTGCAGCATCAGATGGGTATAAAATCAGTCTTTTCTCGGTCATGGTCCTCATGGCTATTTCCCTGAGCTGGAGCCTGGTAGCAGCCATATATTGCTCAAAACGATGTTGCTTAAAGAAAATCACATCATCCAGTTTTTGAAACAACTTCTCTCCAAAATGTTCTCTAGCCTGAGTTACAGGGAACAAACATCTCAGCATTGGAAGAATTTGGTTAAAAACTAATGCACAAAAAAGTAATTTGAAGTAATTTATTAAAAAAAATAATTAAATAACACAAACAAAAAAAAATCCCCATATGTGCTGCTTGAAACCAATAGATTTACATATCCTCTCCTTATTTATACAACTTACCTCCCTCAGAAGATCAAAATAGATGCATCGATGCCCTATTTGAAACGGACCAGGAGATGGTAAGTCTTTCAGCGAGTGTTCTCGAATCCTCTCTGCGCATTTGCAGTGCCACAATTGGACTTTACCATCCATAACATTCGATGTCATAATAATCAGTGTTTTGGTGAAGTCAGGGGTGCTTCCTTGGTCATTTGATACTCTGCCGTGGCTAATGATCTCAATCAGAACATCAATAACAGAAGCATGAGCCTTGTCAACATTGTCAAACAACACTACGTTATAAGGCCTCACAATTTTTGTGAGCAGACCTTCTGTGGAACAACCTTCATGATAAGAGGAACTGAAGAATCGAACGCAAAGAAAAACAATTAGCCCCTTATATATAGGATACTGAGCAAAAACAAACAAAAGAGACCATCCACACAGATTATAACCTGGAGGGAAAACCAAAGAGGCGTGTAACAGATTCTGAGTCTGAGTAATTTGACAAGTCGATTTCTATAAACCTTTCTTTGTCATCAAAAAGTTGCTTGGCAAGAGCTTGGGCAATCTCTTTCCATCCCGGTGCAAGGCCATTTAAAAATAGAAATGATCCAATTGGGCAAGAACCATCTCTACGCCTTGACAATGCGTTGCTAATAACAAATGGAACATGTTCTTGTCCAATTATCCCTTCAGCAAGTCTTGGTTCGAGGCCCTGAAGTGGCGGCTCTGGAAAATGAAGAAGCCATGAAACAGGGATCCCAGTCAGAGGACTCGCTACCTGCATGGCCCGTCATTGAAAAATTGATAAATACCTCTGCAATTAGACATGAAGTAACAGTCAGGTTTTGCTTAAAATTTCCGTGAATCGTAAGCATGAGCTCGTTTACAAGGGTACGAAGATGTTGAACAAACTCAGAGAATGGGGTCAGGTCCATACCATTCGAACCTTCCATCTCCTGTAATCGTGAAACCAAAATTTGGTACGTTTTTTCCAGCATGACTGTGTCTTCAGACCTCTTCATGGATAACATTGTAGGCTTCCACTTCCTCACAAACTTATCCCACTTAACCCTCAAATCTTCATAATCCTTTTGTACCTGAAGCCATAAAAATAATAAAAACCCAACCCACATTGACTATACACACACACACACACACACATATATATATATTCATATTAGTTCTATGAAAGCTTTGCACGGTCAGGAAAAGAAAATCGGCACTTACATGAGGAATCCAAAGCTTCTTAGCAGAATCCTTCTCTCTATTGATTTCCTCCCATTCAACAAGTGCACGACACAATGAGTATTCGTCAAAATCCAAAGCCTTCTCTTCCGCATTCGTGTCTAGATCAAGTCTCAATTTCACACAGGCTTTTTCCCCCATCTCCACCGCCATCTTTTCCAGTGCAGCCTCCAGATGGTCATCAACTACTTCATTAGACAACAAAACCGAAGAAATGCCAGGAAAACATAAACGACAGACATTATATATCAGTGGCAACCAAATAGTATATTTAATTTCAATGTATAAGAAATCAGTGGAGGGAGGCCAGACAAACCAACCATCAGAGTATCTAAGTGATATAGCATCGGTGTGAATTTCAACAGCATAAGTGGTCTCCAATTTCTCCTTGTATACCACCTCAAGCTTCCTCGGAATTTCAATCATCCATTGTTCCATATCCATTGTTTAAAAACCCTAGATCAATTATTCACACAATAATTGCATTTACATTAGAGGATCAACTTTTTTTTCCTATATATTTGTGTATTTAAAATATATATATGTGTGTGTATAATATGATAATCCAGAAACGTGAATCGAGTAGTGTGCGTGTTCGTACGCATATGGATGAAAATTAAAAAGAATCAACAGTTCAGTAGAGAAGACGATGCAAGTTTTCGGGAGAGAAGAACCGAAAGAACCGTGTATATATATATATGCCCTTCCGAGCCTAAATTATAATCGAAAACATGAATCAGACACTGTATTTGTGTCGTACATATATGGATGAAAATTTAAAAGAATCAAAAGTTCAGTAAAGAACAAACCAAAATCAGATTTATCAGCAGTGAAGTTACTGAGGAGATTCTATCTTTGACTGAAGAAAAAAAGAAAAAACTAATTAATTTAACCAGCCATGGCAGTCCAAAATGAGAGGGGGAGGTTTTGATAATGGGTTCTGAGAGGGTTTCCTCTGATTTGATGATAATTGTGAGTCTGGGAAGAGATTAGGGTTAAAATTTTTTTTGGAAGTAAAATATATATTTTTTTTTTGATAAATTTTTTTTTTTTTTTTTTTTATATTATGAATGTTTCGCAAAAATTTAGGTCGAGATTGAAGTCGAATCTCATCTAACAGGCATATAAAATAACTTGTTAAAAATTATTAAATAATTTATTTTTATTATATTTTTTTTTTTTTTTTCCCCTCATTTACGATAATCAAACACAAAGAAAAATATATATATTAACAGAGCCCAGATTGCATTTTGGATTGTGACACGATGTTGTTTTAAAATTAATTCACGATCCAATCTATTAATATATGGATGGATAAGAATGGGATCGAATTTAAAACCTGAGTAAATTTTATTTAATGTTGAAGATCATTTAATACAATTAGTTAACTATTGGTGAATTAAAGAGTTATTAATTATATTTTATTTTTAATTAACAATCATAATATTATAAATAAGATTAGTAAAAAAAAAACGTTTTTACTTTTTAACCAATAAGAATAAGAAAGATAAAAATGGCAAATAATAAATTTAAAAGAAAAAAGAAGGAAGACTGAATTCAAAAGGTCAAAATGCTAACTGTTTTTATTAGTCAATTGAAAAAGAAAGTAAAAAAAGAGAATAAAGAGGATAGAAAAAAGATGTGGAAAAGTATATATTTTTTTTCTCCAAAAGGTACGTGGAGGAGTAAAATTGGTTGGCAAAGAAGTTAGGCTATAAGTGGTTTATCAAGATGGTACAAATATATTTGTTAAGGGCTCTTATAACAAAAATTGTTTGGGCATGGGATGGATGCCTCTTCAAAATCGGAATGTAGCTTTGGAAACCTGATCATTGAAACCCCCAACAAGAAGAAGAAAGAGAAACAATTCCAAATCACAATAGAACATTTACATAGTTCACCGAAATTCAGGATTAATTCCATAGATGAGGAACTTCATTATAATCATATAGAGATATTATCATATTACAATCTCGTAAACCCACTCTCCCATTTGTACTCGCACCTTCGCAAAATTGCCCTACCTCTCCACTTATAAGGTCTCAACCTCAATGTCACACCCCGAATCCTAATAACCCGGTACACGAATGGATAACGAAAACTTTAACGTATTTTAACTAAGTTGATCCGCACCTAAATATCATCAATGAAGTTATAGTGGAACCTTAACAAGTCAATTGTGTTGGGATTTATATGCCCTGTCATAACAAATTCCTATTTGGATTATGGTGACATGTGTTCCTGACATATCTGAAATATATATATTTATATAATTGGTGAATTCAATATATTATGTTTCAATTCATTAAGGAATTGATAGTGTCCATTTGATTACAAAAGATATTTATATATGTATGTAATGACAATCAATACATGAATATAAATAGTAATCATAAAATTGTTCATAATCAGTAATTTTGAATAGACTCATTATTAACTAAGACTTGAACTGGATTCGCGTTAGGTTGAGATATATTGCGAGAGCCGTCGTATGCAATTACTCCGTATCACCGTCATGGCATTTCACTCTTAAGCATGAGAGAAGTATAGACTCTTTTATTAATTAGTAATTATTTTGATTTGTTCGACGGAATCTTCGGAATCCTTAGACCGACACTTTGGGTAATTATATAATTAATAGTTAAAGGATTATATTTTCAATTCATTATTAACTAAGACTTGAACTGGATCCGCGTTAGGTTGAAATATATTGTGAGAGCTGTCGTATGCAATTACTCTCGATCACCGTTATAGCATTTGACTCTTAAGCATGACAGAAGTATAAACTCTTTTATTAATTAGTAATTACTTTGATTTGTTCGGCGGAATCTTCTAAATCCTTAAACCGACACTTTAGGTAATTATATAATTAATAGTTAGAGGGTTATATTTTCAATATTTGCATCATTGCTACTTGTATTTATTTTGTATTGATTATGGTTGATCACAAAGTAAATTCGAAGACCTTCGTGTGTTTTTAGACAAAATGATTTATTATATATTTAAATTATTATTTTTGTCAAACAAATTTTTTTTGTGATCGAGCCAGAAATAATCAATGGTACCAAAATAAATATATTAATTAAGTAGTCGAATTGATGGCTGTATTTATCAGATAACTAATTATGCATAGAGGGGTCAAAGTGCAATATTGAGTTAGAGGTTATTTATTATTTAATTGGAGTTCAATTAATTTCTTTTAGTGGAGTAGAAATTAATTAATGAATTAATTAAATTGGGTCCATGGACCGGTCCAATTATTAATTCATTGTAGCCAATAAAATAATAAGTCTAAAGGATTCTCATTCATAGCCTAACTTGATATTGGAATCATATTAGATTTGAGACATGTGAATTAGAGATTGAGAAGGATTTGTTATTTCTTTTTCTTTATCTTTTTGTTACCTATATATATACATGGTCTATGTATATTTTAGGGTGATTTTGACGAGAAGGAAAAAGGAATATATTTTCTATCTCTAAAAAATTAGGGTTAGTGATCTCATCTAATGGAGGCTCCCACAAACCTAGTTTTTCCAAAGTCATTCATGGAGGCTTATGAGTGATTCCTAAAGGCAAAACAATTACCAAGAAGATGAAGATCCAAGGAGATGGCATCTTGCTAAGGGATCTGCAATAAGTGAGAACATTCACTTTAGAGGAAAAATTTAACGGTTTACTTAGACATTTGGTGTAAGTATTCAATCTATTAATTGAATAATACATCATATTTTATTTTTGCATAAAACTTGTCTCTATGTGATGAATCAAGATCTGTGAATCAAAATCCCTCGAAAAGTTTTTAAAACTTGCACGTTTTTCAACAGTGATATCAGAGCATGGTTTGATTCATTACTAGAGATCATGATTTTATGAAAAACATCATTCATGGATCCAAATTTATATATGCATATGTATATATTATTATATAATCATGATGTATGTATATTTGTGATTGGATGATGTTGATGTATGTTTGGGTTATGGATGAAACTTATAGGTTATTGGAATGTATTTTTTTTTTTTTTTTGATGAATGTAATTAAGGCTTTGATTTAGTCGTTTGAAAGTTCAATGATGAAATTTAATTTTTTTCATTGTATTTCAAATTGTAAATTTATTTAAAGCCATGTAATCTTTATCAAATGATGCTATGAAGCTTCAAGAGGGTCCAAAAGGGTTAAATTAGGCTTCAGGAATTTTCTGAAATTTTTCGAAATTTTTCTGAAATTTTTTGGGCTTAATTTATATTTTTTGGAATTTTTTAAATATTTTCTAGTATTTTCGGTGTTTTTCCGGCGACCGAAGAGTTGCCGGCGGCAAGGTATTGGCCGGAGATAGGAGGACTGATGATCACATGCTTCGCGGAACACAATTATATAGTGCAACTGGAACTGAGCCTTTGGATCAAGGGGAATTATCTTGTGTGCCGTGGAACAGGTGCAATCAACCTTCTGGTGCGTGCTCAAGGTTTCCGGCGAGTAAGGAGCACGCGCAGGACAAAATCAATGATGCTCAGCGCGTGCACACGCATGGAGGCACGTGCCACACGTGAAGGCGCCCCCCAAGCGCGTGCCACGCTCTGCTACACCCCCCAAGCGCGTGCTAGAGCGTACGGTGTCCTTCGGGCGCGTTCCAAGCATTGTTTTGCTTCTCCAGTCGCATACAAGCTCACTACAGGTGTTAATAAGCGGTTGGTGGACGCCCGTACAGCAAGAATAGTATTTAACTGTTAAAAGCTAATTCCATTGGCCATGTTTATTTGCTTTATCTGTCATTTATTGATGGATGTGATGCATGGAATAGATAATTATTTATTAATTATTATTCATGCATTGGATCCATGATATTTATTTAAATGACTTGATTTATATTAATTAAATTATGAAAATTAATTGGATCAGATTACTAATTATTTGAGGGCACATCAGGGGAAACGAAAAATTATTTTTATAAATTATTTTTAAAGTGTGCCTCAAATTAAATATTAGTGAATCATTTAAAGTCCAAATATTTTCTAAATTTAATTAGATTAAAATCAAGACGTTTTGCATGCATTATATCATGGACATGAATAAATAAATAAAAAAACCCCAATTATGAATGATTAAAAAATTAAGTGGGAGCGGGGATTTTTATACATTACCTCATGACCTTCGTTTTTAAAATCATTGTAATTAGATCTTCAAAAATAAGGCTCCACGCATGATTTGAAGAGTCTTAATATTACAAGAATAGTTGTCTCATGAAAATAAAAATATTAAATGTTCATTGTAATTAGATATTTAAAAACAAGGTCCTACGCATGATTTAAAGAGTTTAGATTATAATGACAAGATATTTAATGTTTTATTTTTCATTAGAGCTTTAATAACGTTATACATTCAATCTAAAATCAATAGTGTTAGCTCCCCAATGGAGTGGTCTACACTAGGTGATTTTAGA